TTGAGTACGTTGAGGGAAATTTTATCACAGAAATAAGAATTAATTATATAGATAATTCTCTATATTAGGTGGCGCTTAGAGTTCCCCCAAACACTTCAGTGAGGCTATCGGTACCCTTAGCAAATAAGGGGCCCTTGTGGAATCCGAAGTGCTTTGAGGGAACTCCAAATGAAACCTAATGCAATTCTATACAATTAATAGACATATAATTAATCACTTTCTCATGTCAGGTGAAACCTAGAGTTCCCCCAAACACTTCAGTGTAGCTGTCGGTCCCTAAGCAAAAAAGGGACTCTTATAAATTCTGAAGTGTATTGAGGAAACTCCAGATCAAACCTGACGGCTTTTCACTCTTCCTTTGCTAAATTGGCCATGATATATTACCTATTTATAGTAAGCTGAATTCGTGTAATGATCATGTGAAGAAGAACTCAAAAGTATGACAACTCAATTTCATCTGAGGAATACATTTGAGTAACTGAACCTGGACATGAATGTAGAATAAATGGTGAAAAGAGAATAAAAGCTTCGTCTTTTGGCCTATCACTTTTCATCTTTACTTTTGGTTGTGTACAAGATCAGAATATAGAAGAGAAATTACATACCTTTTCTTGCTGAAATGACGGGTATAAGTAGAGAACCAAGTTGGAAAATTCGGTGGCCTGGATGCCGATTCTGTGTTCTTTATTTGACCCATAGTTACAGCAAGGTTCATCAGCTTTCCTGCTTTTCTTGGGTTATATATGTTAGAACACATCTCTATGTTTAACAAAATGAGGCAGTAGAAGGATATTGAGGAGACGGTTGTGACCCTCTCTTTCATAGTTTGCATTCCTGTTAGTGTAGCAATAAGTAACCAAATACCAGGATTACTAGCAAAGAACATCAGGGTTCCCCTAGAGTTCCTTTGACCACTTTTGAGTACTCATTTTTGAGAACAATATCCACTGAAGTGTTTGGGGGTAACTCCTGTGGTTACCTGATTTAGTACAAAATACGCTTACATAAACAGATCAATATAATCTCTGTCTTCTATCAACCTTCTCGTTTCTAGTTTTACATTGTTCTATGGAATAACGTTGTTAATATGGTTTGTCTGTATTCCAGTTTTTCCAGGTAGCATTTGGTACAATTCGTGGTACGTTTCTTGCCTTTATGATTCAACTGCTAGTTGGTGCTTGAAGGACTGTAGAAATCCGTGAACTCCTTCAGATGGGGAACTTGCAAATTGTGCTGGATATAGTAGACAAATGGCCATTTTGTTTTATAATGGTGTTGTCAAAGTTAATTTATAATATATATCTTCTATATATTAAATGTGGCTATGTAACTGAATTTCTTGTTTTTAACGGAAAAACTAACGAAATTTGTTGTTTTAACGGACTATGTAACGGAATTTCTTGTTTTAAACAGGCAGCTGCACCTTCCTGCAGTGTTTTTATCATAACTTTGTATTCCGATATCCGATTGAGGCGATGCAAAATGCGTTGGAAAGCTAACTCATCTGGCTACAACTTTAATTCAAGATATCATTCTCCAATTCGANTTGGCATTAACTAGTGCATCTAGACGTCAACTTGTTTCATTGCTTTTATTTACCTGTAAAAAGAAAATAAACAAAGTTAGTAAACATTTAAAACAATACAGCTTGATATTCTAAATTCACAAGCTTTCAAGTGATATTTAGAATCTTTAAGCAGTTTTTGAATTTATTTAAAGACAAATCGGGCATTTCTCAACCATATTTCTCACAAAATGAAACTTTATATTGTCGTATGTTCATAGTTTACATTTAATGATACATGTTGGGACTCAGTTATTGGATGATCAAAAATGTAAATTAGGGAGAGCAAAATCTAAATTGTAGAGACGTAAACGCTGGTTTCACCTATATTTTCTCATATTCCCAAAAACCTTTTTGATAATATTTTTCAATTTTCTGGTTACAGGTGGAATTTTCAGGAAATTGTCTTAGGTAATTACAAACAATATTTTAGTTACTCCATTTTTTCATCAAGTCCAAAATGTCGTATTTTAATGCATTATATTTGTAATATGAACATCTAAAACAATGTTTTAATTCTTGGAAATTGTACAGTTGTATGAGTTATTAAGTAATCACTATACTTACGATTTTGAATGTTTGGAAAGAATTATTTTATCTATTTAATAATTTTAAAATAAATAAAATAATATTAAAAATA